TTGTACGTTGTGTCGAACGCAATTACATCACCGAAGCATGTGTAATCCGATCTCGATGTAGAATCCGACCAAATAAGATTATACAATGCCCCCGATTCGTCTACCGAGTATGTCATAAAAAACCCGGGATCATCATGTTTCTTATAATCAAAGTAGGCAATAAGCGCATTCACATCCCCATTGACGATTTCCTTTGCTTTACCTCTTTGAAGTGCATTGTAGAGGTCTTTATGTGTAAATCCAACATTATGATAGCCCCCTGCCTGCTGCGTTAAATAGTTCATTACTTGTGACGTGCCAACACCGACCTCTTTCAATGTTGTTGCCTCATCGATATCAGCCTTACTTACAGCTCTATTAGAACGCATAAATGGTGTCATAGCAGATGTGCACAATGCATGATTATGTTTCTGATCAGACTTACTTATAACCCACTGATCGTTTGTATTTGTTGCTGTAACTACGACTCTAGCCTTACATCCTGTTCTTGTGACTGGCGTATGAGCACGTTGACGATCAACAGTATTGACTTTTGATACTCGAAACCCTTCTTTGGAACAACAAAATTCTTGTGTCTTCACATTCCCTTCCACGTCAAGCCGTGTTGTTCCCTTACGTGCACTAAACCCATGTTCCCGTGCGAATCCCTTGTAAAAGTGCCAAGCTTGATCACGTGAACAAAAGAGCTGACCAACCAATCTGTCAGATTCATCAACATTATGTACTTCATGGCATTCCTGGTTGGCTTAACATTGTCTACATCAGTATTATCCATGGCAAAAATTTTGTTGTGCAAGTTCAGTGCTCCAGGAGTTGATGGAGATGTAAACAAAGGTTCATTTTGAACATGTTTCTGTCGTGCTGCTTTCAATAGGATGTGGCATTGGTAGTGGTAGTTAAAGGGTGGGTACAACCAACATTAAATTCGCAGTACATATTTAGGTATGTACAATAACTACAAGTATATTATCATTAAATTTAGGTATGTACAATAACTACATATTTAGGTATGTTTGTTAACTACATATTTAGGTATATACATCTTTTGAGTGAGTTTTAAGATATTAATTTAGTAATTATAGGCGTCTAATGATTTATTTTTTACGTTACGGTATATATTATTATTAAATTAAAAACAATAAACATATATATTACATATTTATTATTATCTTTGGTTAATGTTGTTAAATTTAAATTCTAAATAATATTTTATAAAATATCAAAACAATCAAATAATTTTTTGTGTAAATGAAATTATTAAATTAATATTGTAGGTGGAAAACATGAAACACTGTTAAAAAAATTGAAACATAAATTACATAACTTTTAAAAAAAGTATCGATCCTTTTTATAAAAAGTATGGACACTTTCAATATAATAGGTAAACATATGATGTAATAGGTAGCCCTTATATAATGTAATAGGTATCGTTTATATAATGTAATAGGTAGTGGTTATATTGTAAAGTGTCTATCCTTTTTATAAAAGTGTTCATACTTTTTTCACTGTGGAAAACATTAATTTAAGGTTATCTTTTGAGTGAGTTTTAAGATATTAATTTAGTAATTATAGGCGTCTAATGATTTATTTTTTACGTTACGATATATATTATTATTAAATTAAAAATTCTAAATATTATTTTATAAAATATTAAAACAATCAAATAATTTTTTGTGCAAATGAAATTATTAAATCAAATAATTCAAATTGAAAATTAAACAACAAATCAATTAAACATTGTTGTGGGTACATTAATTGAACATTGTTATGGGTACATTATTTGGAAAAATAATGTTCCGGACTTTGTTAGAAATAACTCTTTTTCATTGGATTAATTTCGTTTTTGTGGGTACATTATTTGAACATTGTTATATATAAATTTGTTGTGTAAGTATGTTTTGGTTTGATTATATTGTATGTATATTTTCATTCAGTTGAGATGGGTTATGTATAACAAAACAATCTATCTCGCATGTGAGTACTTTATTCCAACCATTTGACAAGTGTGACAACTCCATCAACTCACAACTCAGCTTTGAACTCAATCAATATTGTCTTTTAGCTTGATGGTTCATAAAGCATGTTACTTGAACAGTATGAATCAATTATGCAATTTTCATGTTCAATTTAACACTGCATTTCAAATTCATTTCATATGTAATTGGAGTTTGAATTTAAATTTCAATTTGAGTTTGAATTTCAATATATATTTCGGCTCCACTATAAATATTAGCCCAAGCCAATATGCATGTTATCATTGATTATTCCTAATTTCCATTGTTTTTTTCCAACGTATAAACGCGAGGGAAATCCCGACCATTTTATTTTTTGGTCAACTTTAAAGCGTCAGAAACGTTTCGGGCGTATGATCTGGGTGGTATACAAGAAATGTAACAAATAGCAACTAAAATCATAAGTTGAGTACCACCCAAATCATAAGTCTGAAATACTTCCGATGCTCATCAAAATCCAAAGCTCATATGGTGCCAAGCAAAAGGAAATCAAAATCCAAATCTCATATGATGCCAAGCAAAAGGAAATCAATATCTACAACTTGAGTTTGAACATTGATATGATATGTTCAGTTGTTATCATGTTGGGATTTTCTCGTTTTTGATTGCTTGGATAGTTGTTCTCTTGCTTCTTCAAGTGTTCTTAAGGTTATCCTTTGAGTGAGTTTTAAGATATTAATTTAGTAATTATAGGCGTCTAATGATTTATTTTTTACGTTACGATATATATTATTATTAAATTAAAAATTCTAAATAATATTTTATAAAATATCAAAACAATCAAATAATTTTTTGTGTAAATGAAATTATTAAATTAATATTGTAGGTGGAAAACATGAAACACTGTTAAAAAAATTGAAACATAAATTACATAACTTTTAAAAAAAGTATCGATCCTTTTTATAAAAAGTATGGACACTTTCAATATAATAGGTAAACATATGATGTAATAGGTAGCGCTTATATAATGTAATAGGTATCGTTTATATAATGTAATAGGTAGTGGCTATATTGTAAAGTGTCTATCCTTTTTATAAAAGTGTCCATACTTTTTTCACTGTGGAAAACATTAATTTAAGGTTATCTTTTGAGTGAGTTTTAAGATATTAATTTAGTAATTATAGGCGTCTAATGATTTATTTTTTTCGTTACGATATATATTATTATTAAATTAAAAATTCTAAATATTATTTTATAAAATATCAAAACAATCAAATAATTTTTTGTGCAAATGAAATTATTAAATTAATATTGTAGGTGGAAAACATGAAACACTATTAAAAAAATTGAAACATAAATTACATAACTTAAAAAGAAGTATCGATCCTTTTTATAAAAAAGTATGGACACTTTCAATATAATATAATGTAATAGGTAAATTTGCAATGCTCACTGTGGAAAACATTAATTTAAGGTTATCTTTTGAGTGAGTTTTAAGATATTAATTTAGTAATTATAGGCGTCTAATGATTTATTTTTTACGTTACGATATATATTATTATTAAATTAAAAATTCTAAATAATATTTTATAAAATATCAAAACAATCAAATAAATTTTTGTGCAAATGAAATTATTAAATTAATATTGTAGGTGGAAAACATGAAACACTATTAAAAAAATTGAAACATAAATTACGTAACTTTAAAAGAAATATCGATCCTTTTTATAAAAAGTATGGACACTTTCAATATAATATAATGTAATAGGTAAATTTGCAATGCTATCGGTATAAATATACCGGTTTACTTATAAAATAGGTAAATATAAGCGCTACCTATTACATTATATAAGCGCTACCTAGTATGTTATTGTACTTTATAATATTTCCGGTTAAATAATATAACATAACCGGTCTAAATTTTAACCGGTTACTTGTTTAACCGGTCACGCCGTATATTAACCGTTTTTTAGGCGCCGCACCGCAGAACTACCCCCAATGAATATGATGTTTGAAGCTCTGAATATGAGTTGAGGTATTTGGAAACTGTTTCTGATCCTTCCTTTTCCACTGTTTCTGATCCTTCCTTTTCCACTGTTTCAGCCCCTCTCCTTTTCCAAGTTTGTTATGATCCCCATTAACTATTCCACCCATCATAATCAATTTATTACTATTATTTGTTGAAGGTACTCATGTGAGACTGAAAAGTGTCGTTTTACTCATAAAAATTAATAAACCTCTTTAAATAAAATAGAATAAAATACCATAGTAAAGAGAGTCGATTTAAAGGGAATTTGGAATTCCTAATCTAATTGTGTGTCGATTTTAGTCCAATAAGTCGAAATAAATAAAAATAAAAAAAGAGGTAGGCGAGATTGAGACGTAGTAAAAAACAAAAATAAAATAAAATCTAAGTGAATTAAATAAAAACTGAAAGGAAGTGTTAAATCAAAGAAGATAATCAGTAGCAAGATATGAATTCTACGACTCCATATATTGATGTTCAAGCCCTTGATGATCATCAAGAACTTCCACCTATTCTAACTGTCGTAACCATTCTTCGGGTGGGCCAAGAATCGGGTTTTGACTTGAATTATTATGTTAGAGTCGTCACTAGTCATTTAAAATTAGGTTGATCGGACACCTTCACTTATCATTTGTCTGATCTTCGTTTTACCATAAATTAATATGATTCGAGAGTCGATTACAGTCAATGAATGATTAGCACCCTTGTACAGAAAGAAGAAAAAGGTTAACGGATAATTAATTGTATGTCTGTAAAAACTAACCGAAGATAACGATAGAGATAGAAACAAAAACGAACTAAAAGTTTGATAATTGTATTGTGAGTTTTAAAAGTTTGATAATCAAAATGCAAACATCCTAAAAGTTTGAGGACTATTATTTAACTTTATCCAATTATTTAATAAATTTTACATAAAATAACATTGAATTTGAATCACAAATCTTAAAACATCTAATTTATATAGTTACCGTTTACAATTTCGCGAGTCTATTTCATTTGATGGATGGGGACAATATATTAACAAACTAACGGTTTGTGATCCATAAAATTATGTAAACATAAAAAGAATGGAACTTTGGGAATCAACAAAAGTGGCATAGGATGACTGAATCATGGTCATCCACGTGTCAAAGACCCAATTCCCCTGGAAATCTGGTTCATCCCAGGATTGAAACCCAAGCATCCAAGGAGGCCTTGCTTGTATGGTAAAAAGGTCTTCTTCTTCATCTCCTCCTTGACAGCCCGGTTCGCCGTGTAATGCAACTCGTGAGCCGAAACCACTCCTCTCCGGGACACCGAACCCACACTATCAGTTGACCGGAAGCTTACCTTTCTAAGGTCATCGGACTGAACTTTCCTCGACAAAAGAGCATATTTTCTTAGCGGATCTTTACTCGCCGCTCTCCCTTCCGATGCACTTCGGAACAACAAAAGGTCCTTCAACTTCCACTTTCTGTTAACTTTTGTGAACGAAATGGAGGAGAGAATGGAAGATTTAGGATTACTCTTGGTGGTTTTCTGGGAATTTGATGAAGCTTCTTCTTCTTCTTCTTGCTCCAACGTGAGGTCGCATACTCTTAATGGTGACAATGATCTGCTTTTCTTATGAACAGATTGATGACATGGCTGGGATTTCAAAGGCCGGATTTTTCCGCCGTCGAAAAGCTCATCGGCGGACAAGGAAGCTCCTTCTAATTGCCCACTGAAGTTGAACTCGAAATCTTCGTCATTACCATCATGGTGGTTGCTCATAGGCTTTTCTTCCCTTTGAGAATTGGGATAAATAGAAGAAACGCGAGCGGGACTGGCTGGAGCACTGAGGAAGAAATTGCCAAAGCGTTGAGGAGTTGAAGGAGCAGTCATGAACGGAGACGAACATGTGCTGTCGAAGTTGAAATCCACCGCCGGGACTGGCTCCACCGTTTCCATCTCCTTTAGTTTCTTGGGGCTCTCAAAATTCAACAAACGTGAACATAGAGATCAGAGGACTATTATAAGGGGGGGGGGGGGGGGGAAGGAAGGAGAGGCGAAGGAGTGTAAAATTGACCAAGTCCCAAGGGGGAAATTGATTATGAGTTATGACTAGTTATACGCCGCCTTTATAATCAAGAGTTCCATGCGATGAATTTTGTTAACATTAAGCATTGATTTAAATTGCAGCCATGAAATATTTTTATCTTTTATTATTTGTTAAGTAAATTTGAAAATTCATACTAAAAGTCAAAATAATACTAATTTTAATTGTTTATTTCAAATTAGGGTAAAACATAAAATGATCCCTCATTTAGGTATTGTTTTGTTAAGTCACTGGTTATTAAAAGTTACAAAATAATCATTTAACTACTTATATATTATAAACTCGTCTTTTTTTGTTAAAAAATTACGATCATTTGAGTTTGACGTTGAAAATAATAGGATAAAGTAAACAAGTGGTCCCCCAACTATACAAAATTACTGTTTAAGTCCAATTATTAAAAGTTACAAAATAATCTCCTGACTATTCAAATATTATAAACTCATTTTTTTTCATTAAAAGTTGATAGACGTTTGAGATTGACGTTATAGTAAAATAGATCTTTGGTGTGGGTTTGGGTCCCCTAGAAGCCCTTTTCTCTCTAATGTTCCATTCAATCTTTCAAGTTTCATCAACTATGTAATTTAGCCCTCGCTATTACCAAACTCCTAATTGGATTATCATGTGGGATTTCAACGTTAGAAGATAAGTCAAGTAAGCGTTCGATGCCATAAACGATCTTCAGATTATGTCTTCCTTATCTGAGGTGTTCTTTGTGACATGTTAAAAATAATATAATATTTGATTATTAGGATTCTAAGTTCTAACCGACAATGTAATTGGAAAAATCCCACGAACAATAACTGTTGAGGGACATTCGTTACTAGGATAACAAGAGTTAACGATCAAGTGATCAAAATATATTAAATTGATAATATAATGGACCGAAACATATCTTTTGTTGAATCGGTGATCAAAATCAAACAGACTGAAAACATAAAAGAACACAGATATAGTTTACCCAATTTCTATAGACAACTAATTTTAAGATGAGTAGTATTTTACATCTGAATTAAGTTCACTTGTATTTTTTTAGCTTAAACATGAAATGGATATAATTTCATCTCATTATTTAATGAAAAATTAAAACGAAAAATATTATATATCGGTCACATGTATAATATGAATAATATATCAAAATGAATTTTCAACATGACAATTGGATAATTGTTATAATAAATAAGATAATTAATGAAAATATGTGAAAATAAACCGTGCCCAAATTGGACAATTTTATATTAAAAACCCCAAATAAATAATTATTTAAAGAAATAGGGCACTCTAAAAAGTATTTGGAAGAATAACCCCAAATCATCCACATCCGATGTGAGCGCACTTTCCAGGTAAGCTAATAAAACAATTGGATAAAATGACATCGCGTATAGCGAAGTGCGAGGTAATCTTTATGATCCAAAATATCGCGAGATTAATAGGAGACCTCGCGGCCTGAAAAGAGCGAGGACAATATATTCCCTACCCTCATTTCAATGTCCATAGCCTTGTTCGGATACTATATTCAGGTGAGAAACTGATTTTTTTTAATTTTTAATTATAAATGTGTAGTGTTTCAATTTATCTTTAAGGTGACTATAATATCATCATATATAAGACATTTTAAGCGAGGTAAAAATGACGTTAAAAATAGTTAGAAATCATGGTTTTGTTAATGAAGAAAAAAAAATGGTTTGATAGACATATTGAAGTGTTGTTTCTGGCTTGTAAATATGAGTGGTTTCAAAATTTATATGCTTAGAGGCATAGTATTGTAACTTATATTTATGTTAAGGCTAATTTGGCCACATACGAGATATTTTAATGTGGGTAAAAATCATGTTGAAAAAGGTTGGAATGCAAGATTTGGTGCATGAAGAAAACAAATGAAATTGAAAACTAAGTAATATGTGTTATTAATTAAAAAAAAAGAAATAATGCAATAATCTCATTTAATTGATACGTGGGCCTGAGCGATTGGGACATTTGTTCTTTGTGTGTTCCAGATTCCTACATATAGAGATAGTTTCGGTTGTCTGGTTATTTCTTGATGTTCGACCAAATCCTCGTCACAAAAAATTCGGGTTGGCTGTGGATGACTGATTTTTTGTCGTAGTGCATAATCTGGCCGTATTGTAGGTTCATCATCAGCTTCATCCAGATCCCATTCATTTCCAATTTGAGGAAACTTATATTTATAAACCTTGAATATAGTTTCAAGTAAGTAAACCCTATCAACGAAACTCATGTAGGGTATCCGAACAGAAGAAACAACATCAATGGTGTGCGCACACGTTTGGAAGAATTCACACTCACATGTTTTTTCCCTCATAAATTAACCAGTATACGTTGTGTTGTATTCCTTTCAATGGCCTTGAAAATTATGCTACACGAAATAATGACATTTCGCAAGAAAAACATATGACATTAATCGCTTTAGAATGCTGCTAAAATGTTTGCAATTTTCTGAGGAGTTCTAGGTGGATTTGGTGGCCACCTGTCATCTAGTTAACTTCTTGTCTTTTTAAGATTGTGAAAAGGGTTGCCAGTCAATAATATGTCGCTTTGACAACGGATGTGATAGGCAAATAGTGCACTCCCTTTAGTGATGACTTTATTACCTCAACCAAGTTCGTTGTCATGTTATCATATTGTCTACCCCCATCAAATGATCGAAGCCATTTCTCTTTTGGGATTCTAGCAAGGTAGTTGAACCCCTCAGAACTCATATATCTCAGTTCCTGCATCAAGTCCTCAAACTCACGTACGGACTTTGTGTAACCTATCAATAAAAATGAAACAATTAATTTGAAATAACTTTTGTAAAGATATGATAAACCAAAAAGGGTGAAAGACGTACCCATTCGAAGCACCATTAGACGCTTATCTTGACTCTTGAACTCCTACAAATAGTTTGCAGCAATATGTCGTAAACAGTACCGATGATAAATATTGGGGGCTAACAATACGTGCTCATACGTTGGAGTGCGTTTTTGATACCAACGCCTCTGTCATAAATAAGACAAATCACATCATCTCTATCATGCATCACATATGATAGAACATATATTTGTAAGTTCGTAAGGAAGAATTCTCAAGAATCGATATCTTCCTTTTCGACAATTGCGAATGCGATGGAAATAGTTTTTCTATTGTTGTCTTGTGCAACCATCAATAACATTATTTGAGTGTATTGACCATATAACAAAAGTGTTGTCGATTTGAACAATCGACTTGCAATGTCGGAATGCATTAATGCATTGCGGGAAAGTCCAAAAGAGCAGGTAAAATTGGCAGAAACCTTGTACAACACGATCATTTTCGTACATCGGGACTGTTTCCAATTTCACAACTGTTCCCATAATGTGTTTCTTGCATCAATTTAAGTCATGACCGCAATCCGCAATTCATTGTGTGTTTCCTCCTATTGACCGATCAATTTTTGTTGGGCTGATATCTTGCATACCATGCTTTGTGCTAGTCAACTATGTACCCGTATAGGGATGTAACTGAATCAATACATGTCGCAACCGTAACACGTGGATTTGAGCAACGGAATGAAGGCTTCAGAAAGCACGAGCACATCCAAGTTATGATTATCTTGAATTAGGATGTTGGCGATGTATGTATATGGTTGGACGTATTTTGTGAGTTTCCAAAGGTTGTTCATTGTCTTCAATCGTGATACAGAACCCTCCAATTACATCCATGTTCATTGTCTTTCGGGGAATCGTGGTTTTAAATGCAACTCGCTTCCTGCAAGATGCGAGTTACATTGAAAACACGTAGAATTTATTCCGTTCCCAATACCTCGCGGTTTGCAAACCGCGAGATTGCTACAAGCTTTTATCTTTTAAATTTCAAAATATATTATAATTATAATATTATTAATTATTAATTATATTTATTATTTTACACGTATAATTTTTCATTATTTCAAAATTTACAAAATATATTATAATTATTTTTTATAAAATATCTATTTTAATTACTATATTTATATATTATTATATTTGAATTATTTATTATATTTAATAATTAATATTTATTAATTATTATTATTATATTTATTTATTATATTCATTTAATTTATACGTTTCAAATTAGGCTGCTATGCAGAATTCGAAAGAACCTCGCGCTTTGCAGGCAGCGAGGTCCCCCCATAAATCTCGCGATATTTTGGATCATAAAGGCTACCTCGCGCTTCGCAATGTGCGATATCATTTTATCTAATTGTTTTATTGGCTCACCCGGAAAGTGCGCGCACGTCGGATGTATCTCACATGTTGGAGGACGCGATGATTTAACACGTAGTTTGTAGGCCGTAAAATCGTTCGATGTAACAACCCAAATTTTTACAAAAATAATATTTAATTGAAATTGGAGGTTAATTGTAAAATTTGGTGAAAATTGGGGACTAAATTGAAAGATTTTAAAATTTGGAGCTTGTTTTAGAGTTAAAGAAAATTCAGAGACTAAGCCCTGAATTTACCCAATAAAATTAGGTAAATTTTGGTTATATATGTTATATGCGTGGGTGGTTTTCTGTTTCAAAATAGAAAACCACCACCCCAAATTCCCTTTCCCCTACGTCCGTTTCCGACTCCGATCCAGACGCCGTCCGAATTCTGATCGTCGTTTTGAAACCACCGTTGTGTTCATCATCGAGCGAGGAACAAACCCTTCTATTTAATTGAAGCGAAACACTGCCAAACGTCGAGAATTTACAGTCAAAGTCTTGACGTTTTTATTAGCTCTATTACCGGGAAAATCTTAAATTCACCGCCGATCGTTGCTCCGTTTACGACACCTCCTGCACCATCGTGTTCCTTGTGTCGTTTCGAGTCCGTCGGTGTCAACCTTGTTCGCCGTCG